CGGAAACTGAAGCACCAAAAGTTCCACAGGAACTCGAGGAAAAACTTCTTAATAGTGAGGGTGACAGCGCACTGGAACAGGCTGCCCAGAGAGGTTGTGGAGTCTCCTTCTCTGGAGATCTTCAAAACCTGCTTGGATGCAGTCCTGTGCCACGTGCTCTAGGTGTCCCTGCGTATGCAGGGGGGTTGGACTAGATGATCTCTAGAGGTCCCTTCCAACCCTAAGCATTCTATGATTCTATGATTCTATGAAGCACAATCTTCTGTTTAGACAGTTCATTAACAGACCTGTATAGATTTAAAAAAGCAAATATTTGCCCACTGGAACCACTGCAACAGTAACCTTTACATTTTGAACTTCATTAAAACAAATCTGATGGTGATACAACAGAATAGAGAGAAAATAATTACAGGAGTTAAATCGTAGTAGGGCTCCAGTTTCTTCTTCAGAGACTCAACTTCTTTATTTAATTCAGACAGTTTCTGTGAACAGAGCAAAGCAGCAGATTTTATTCTAGGCTTACTTGTGTAAATGATGTAAATCAATGAAATAGATGTACAAGTATCTACAGCATTTCAGAATCCACACATGTTGGTTAGAGCTCTGATGATCTTTCTCAGAAGTTATGGAAAAAATAAATATCTACCATTCCTTCAGTTACCACAGTTACCAGTCAGTCAAACTCAGCTCAAATTTAACACTGAGGTATAAATTAATTTCTCTTCCTTTACAAAGGAATACAAAGGTCAGATAAAACTTGAGACCTACAGAAAATTCCCTATAATTTTTAATATGTAAAATTCCAAAGCAAATGATTGTTGGTTAGTACTCTTCTGAAACACTGTAAACATTGCCACCCAGTGCTGGTTCAGGAGAATCACATCATCAGGACAACTGCTATTCAAAATAACTAACATACAGGAAAATAAATGGAGAGAGAGAGAGAAAAAAAAAAAAAAAAGAGAAATGCTTAGTAATACAAGAAACATGCTTTTTCCTTTAACTTATTACCCTACTGGGCTTACACTACATTCAGAAACATTACTTTAAAGCCACAAGAAGGCAGTGCACAGTAGTTCAGATATTGGGCCTATTTTTCCATTCAGGTAATTAAATAGCAAAATACATTTCCTGAATCTACCCAACAAACAAAACTGGCCCATAACACTGCTGAAACATCTATCCTGTACCTAGAGACCTACCTCCGACAGATTCACTAATGACTGATGCATCAAAGACTGGTCCAACCCGGTGGCTGCCAACTGCTCCTACAAACGAGAAAGATGTTGCCATTGACTCGGGTTTTGATCAAAACATCAACACAGTTTGCTAACATGTGCTATTTGAATCATGGATCTAGCTGGTATATGAAATTGGCTACTACTAATGTCTATACTACTCATAACAAATCTTTCCAGAAAACTAGTGGGAGGTGAGCGTTTGCAAAGGCTAGGAAGAGGTTTCCCAATAAAGTGTCATTTGTCTAATACAATGATTCCCTCCTCAAATTTGTCTGAGGACAAATACTGGAGAGTGTCTAAGAATTGCATAAAACATTCACAAATCCTTCATGATGCAATAACTTGTGCCTTCAATGCTTAACCATTCATTAATCTCAAAAAAGGCTATATTCAGAATTTTGTCACACAAGCAACCACAGTTAGTCCGCTGCTCTGCTGCTGACTGTATACTGTTATATTACAGCACCTCAGAGTAAATACAAGGTAAACTGAGCTAATACAGTTTTGGGCTTCACAAAGTCTCATTAGAAAATGTCTCCCCTCTACCTCAGCAGTCTTGATCCTGATTTTGAAATCCTCAGATCTGTTTTTCAGGAACTTCAAGTTCTGGGATCAGCTCTCAGCTTTTGCTTTTTCCACCTCCAAATGTTCCTCTGTTTTTTTAAGATCCCTTAAAAATACAAAAGCAAGCAAACCTTTACATTCAAAGAAATGCCAGTATATGCATACTTCCTAAGGCCATTTGCATAACAGCACAGAGTAAAGCTCTGTAATGCACTGTGCACTTTACTAATTAGAGCATTGCTTAAGCTATCTTAACTTAAAAACAGAAAAGGGGGGTTGCAAACCTGGGTAAGTACACAGCTACAGTATCTCTGCTACAAGCAGCATCACAGTCACAGCTTTAAATAAAACAAACAAACAAGAAAATAATTAGACTGGATGGAAACCTGTGGCTATCATGGGGACCAATGCCCACTTAAAAGCAGAGCTTGATGCTGCTGTGCTTTGCCAAACATTTCAAACAGATTACATCCTTTAGGGAATGATTTGTTTGTTTGCTTTTCTCTCCCATGCATTGTTTAAAGGAGATCCTTATCTAGAAGTCTTTTCTGTTTCCTCTTCTGTTTTGCCTGCCACCTTCATTTTGACAGCAACACCCACACTAACTGTGGTAAGCCAAACAGGTTCGACTTCAGCTGAAAGCAGCCAGTGGAAGACACCAGCCCATATATGACAAATACTTTCAGCCCCTTTGGGGATTAAAATAACGTGTTTGATAGTACTCCCTATCTCTTGATTACTGGACATATTAATAGCAAATGACTTTTGATAGATGGTGTCAAATACTGTGAATTAAGAGATGTATCATAAAGCTGGAATTTCAGTGTCCCTTGCTAATGGTCACAACCAAAGTACCCACTGCAGAGGTCAGCAATATTGTTTGCATCTTTCATTTTTTTTCATCCATTACTCACTCTTGCAGCCGTTTTTCCAGCACCAGTGCTGCAGTTAGCTTTTTCTTAATGCTGGTCAATTCCCATTCCAATTCTTTGTTTTTTGATTCTGTTTCATACAGATCCCAAGTCAGATAGTTCATGGCAGTGATGAAAATAGTCAAATGAGAGATTTAGAAGGAATAAGGAGCCAGCTCTTCTAAAATTCATTATTATCCCCCCCCACACACACACACTTCCCACAAATTACTTGTGGTTTTGTTCCTATATTATGACCCATCTGACAAATGCCTGATAATTTAAGAGAGGAAAGTAAAAGAAGTCAGAGATATCAGTTTCCCTTAAGCAACAAAGATTTCATCTGGAAGGGGAAACAGCCCAGCAGTCTGAATAGTCAAAGGGCCAGGCAAGACCTAGCATTCTAGCAAATATATCCCCAAAACTTGAAAGCCACATGTGAAACTGTACTGAAAACACATATCCTTGGGACATGCCCAGCAATACTTCAGTCACTTCCTCCTCCTCCTAAGCAGCTCATAGTTGCCTGCTCTTTGGCTCAGGAGGAGAGCAAAGCTCCTGAAGACCATAAAAAAAAAAATCCAAGGCTGGGGTTTAACCTTTTGTACCTCAGAGACTTCCCTTGCTAAGGGAATCAAGGGTTGCAGCTTTTTGAAGTTCTCACATCCTTTAATGTTGCCCGAGTGGTACAAAAAAAGCTGGACCAAAAAGCTGGATTCAAAAAAAGCCACAGAGAAACAACATAGACCATCATCCCTGACGCAGAGCAGGAAGAATTACCTGGCAAGAGAAGTGTCTTATTTCGAGCGTTAAGGCAGTGTTTACCAGCTCATTTAGGTAACTGGTGCCTTCATGGAACAGACTAGTTATGGAAAAGTCTAGGCTTCCTGTGAGAAGGTCCTCTAGATACTTGGCTGAAAAACAAATAGAAGCCAAATTAGTCACTTTTATACCACCATTGTTCTGAGCCCTAGATGGCACTCTCTGAAGCTAGAGTTCAATCCACTCTAGAAATGTAATCTCAAAAGAAGACTTGAACATGCCAAACTTGTGTCACGTTCTTGCTTGTCAAGCAAATTCCCTGGGTTGTGGAAGAGAGCTGCTCCACTCATTCCCAACCCGCATGTCTAAACTTTTACCCTCATGTTAAGGTGAAGAGACCGTTCACGCCTTCCCTCTGTGGAGGATGGTGGAGCTCCTGGAACACACAGGCTTGAATCATGCACTTGCTCCAGGAAAGCACATTATGAGCACTCACTCCACATAGCTACAGCATAACTTATCACCTCATTGTTATTTCAGATTCCTCCAGTACTTTCCTGAACAGGAGATGAGCACCAGCTCACATTCTTAAATCAGCAGCCGGGCTGCTCATCTGCCTATCCAGGCAATATTTCAGTACTGTGCTATCCAGCCCAGCATAGAGATTGCAAAAGAAAAACCCTAACACGGATGGGACTGAGAACTACAGCCTCGCACTCACCTTCCTCTTGGTAATTTGCTGCCATCTGGTTCATGCCATCTATGAGCAACACGATGTCCCCGTCCCGGGCCTCATTGCGCTCAGTGAGCTCGTACAGGATGTCAGTGGTCCGTGCGTTCACTTCATACTGCGGAATGGGCTCATCCCCGAAGATTTTCTTTAACCATGAAGTAATCTGCCAGAAAAAGAGTGTGGAGGAGAGAAGAGACAGCAAACAGTAGCTGAAAGAACAAAAAATACCTGACAACCTTGGGCGGTTAGTAATGTGCAGAAAATCTCACTGTCAAGAACTGAATGTCCAAAAAGGAGACAGAGGAGTCCTAAAACTTTATTCGAATAAAGGGAGAGTCCACCGGGCATATCCCTGGGGGGTCTCTCCAATTGCTGGGGGACGCAGCCCCCCTTTTATCCTAATTTCCCGACTGAGGGACGCCCTCTCCTTTTCCCCATTGGCCAAGGTACTCAGAAGTTACAGCCTTCCCGGCCCGCCTACACCGGACTCCTGCCTCCCGCCATCTGTTCTCACCTGAGCTCACCAACTCCTTTGTCCCCCTTGCTGAAGAATGTGGGGCAATTGCCCTATTTCCCTCCTTTGTAAAGGCCCCCATCTCCTTGCAGATGGCTCTTTTTGTCCTTCTGGGCTCATGGCTCCACTCAGTCTCCCCTCCCTTTGTCCTGCTCTTCAGCCAAACTGTGGAGAAACCCCCTTATTGATGAATACAGAAACTTGAGCATTCCGCTCAAAGCCGAAAGCAAGACAGAAATGGGCCGAAGCAAGACCGGACTGAATGCTGCCAGGATGAAAAGCAGCTTCCCTAGAGGCCTGGCCACTGGGCACTAAGTGCTTGCACTCCAGCAGCTGGCTTGTTTCTTTTGAAGTTGCCTGTCAAAAAAGAAGTCAAGCAGGAAGCAGGATTTCTTTCTTCAGAAAGCAGGGAATTTCATTTGCACAGAGCTGGAGATAGCTGATTTTGGCATGCTGAGGTTAGAAGCAGCCAGCCTTGTGCCATGGAATTCCCATGCGACCAGCAAAGTTAGGCTGTGGGCTCCCAACACAAGGGCTGGGTCACAATTTGGGCAGGGATCTGAGGCCACTCTGCCTTTGCACGGGAAAGGGTCCCTAGTCAGGATCGCCTGTGGCACACCCCAGGGAGGACTGCCAACACCCTTAGCCACCACCGGCACCAACGAGAAGAGGCCAGAGTGCCCCACTCCCCCCCCAGGACGCGCGGCCCGCAGCTCGCAGCGCTCGTGCGCCCCCGGACGGCGCCGTGGACTTGCCCGCAGCCAACATGGCGGCGGGGGCGTGGCACCGCCCGCAGTCATCATCTCGCGAGATCCGCGCCGCTATATCCGCCGCCCGCGCGCAAACCTCTGTCTTTTTGCCGTCTGCTGCGAGGTCTTTTCGCAGCCGTCGCCATCCGCGCCCGCCGTCGCGATGCCGCCCAAGTTCGACCCCAACGCGG